AGAAGCAACTACGGCCTGTTGCTTTTGAAAACATTGCCCCTATAAGGATGCGATCTCGAGCTCCTTTTCAGTGATGCTCTCTTGAAGAACTTCGTGTCGGCGAGTTGCTTCGGCCCTGAGATCATCGAAGGTTAACGTGATTTGGGCAGCAAGATCAGCACTGTGCAACTCCTCCAAAGCCCTCAGATCCTTCTCCAATTGAGAGATACTCTCTGAATAGTGCTGAAACCAGCGAGCGTCATCAACATATCAAATGCCACTCAAGAAAGGCATGCGTATTGGTTTAAAAGAGTCAAATGTAGCTCGTCCGGCACCAATCTCTTCAATAGCCACCTTCATCATATCCTCCAGAGGTCGTACAAGAATCTTAAGCATGGAGGGGATGACCAGCCACCTTCATCATATCCTCCAGAGGTCGTACAAGAATCTTAAGCATGGAGGGGATGACCACTGGACTTAAAGACTTTACGGGAGATGTAATCGGAGAGCTTAAAATGGTGGACACCAGCGCAAGAACTGTTGGCGACGATCGTGAAGAAGCTGGGGAAGCCATAGAAATATCCAGTTGTGAAGGACTTGAAGGAAGATTCATGAGCATCCCTGCCTGGGCTGAACTCGACGCACTCTCCGTCCCCGCAGACTTAAGAGAAATCATTAGCGTGGGGGATTCTTCTTATAAAGAGATAGTCGTTACCGACGTTGGCTCGGGGAGAGAAATAGCTGCTGCTTGCTGTTTGGGAGACAAAGTCTTATCAGCAGCCTCGCAGGTTGGAGAACCTACACAAAAGAGCAGTTAGCACAAAAGAAAGAAAAGTCTAGAGAAACCAGTGGGCGTGATCTTTACCAAGAGGGGAGGAAGGAATATAAGCAGACGCCTTATCAGAAGAGGGTGGTGGCGGATCAGCCCAGCCGGCGGAATCATCATCACCATCACTTTCCTCCTCACCAGCATCATCGTTGTGAGAAGAGGTCCCATAGTCTAACGGTTCATCATCATCCGCAGTCGATAATCCAGGAGAACTTGCAGTGGCATCCGCTTTAGTCATAATGCAAGTCGTTGGGCTAGGAATAGCAGCCCCCATCTATGGCAATAACGCAGAAGCAGCAGGAGATTGACTTTCATCTGTAGGAGGCCTAGTCTCTTCACGTCTCCGCAGTCGGAAGAGTAGCATCTGAAGCCTGACCTAGAAATGGTGAAATGATAAGGTCCATGGTAGGAGAAGACTCCACATCCCCAATCAATGACTCGTCCCCGCCCTCTTCTTGATCCAAAGGATGATAAGAAGAAAATTCGCTGGAAAAAGCGGGACCCCTAGAGTGAAGTCCTGTGTGGAGGGGATGATTGGCAACAGCAGATTCTTGTTCCTCCTCTCTCCCTACAGACTTGAAAGCATCCGCCATTAGTTTCTGAGAAGGGGGGTCTACTAATAGTTTCCTACGAGTACGTTTTTCGTACTGAACTGCTTCTTCTTCGGTAAGAGCCCTCTTTCCAGCTGCTTTTGTTCTTGGAGTTTCAGCAGCCTTAGGGCTCGCTACTGGGGCACTCTCTGGTCCCACATCTCCTTCTTCTTCTTTAGCTTCATCTTCATAAGATAAGAACTCATTGATTCCCTTTAGACGAGATACCCGGGATCCTCTTCTGGATGAGTACATCTTCCTAATTTCATGTAGCCCCGACAAATTCAACTTGTAATCAGGTATCTTGGAAGCTGTGTGATACCAGTTACAGAAAGCTATGGAGAGGAGAGAATTAGGCGTCTTGTGAGGTAACCTAAAGGTAGCTCCAGTACAGCCTGCGGTAGAGTAGTACCAGGCCCGAGCCCCTTCGTATATGTTACCAACAATTGCAAGTTGACTCCGAGGATTCCCAATGTATAATTAATCGTATCCAAATTGCCGAGCAAATCTGTATGGTTGATACGGCTCAATTATACATTTATCACATTGCCTAAGGAGAAGATAACCTGGTCTAATGTTCAAGGGTTGATACGGCTCAATTATACATTTATCACATTGCCTAAGGAGAAGATAACCTGGTCTAATGTTCAAGAGCCAGTGGAAGACACCTCCATCTAAACGGGTAAAACCATCCGGGCCAGCTGTATCCTAGAACACTTGCCCATAGCCATCGCCTTCAAAGTCTGCGAAACAGCGGAATAGGTGATAATTGAGGTCTCTCGACAAGATTTGACGAACCCGCACTACATATGTGCTTTCCCAAGTAGCTCCTTCCAATCTCTGTACAAAAGGGACGAATCCTTCGTCCGAGGGAGATGGGGCACTCATCAAAAGAGGACAGTGGGATACATACCATGCCATCAAATAGGTATACGACAGGGGAACTCGAGGATTTGGTGTCACCAAACTTTTCTTTCCTTCAGAGTCTATCTCCTTCACCTGAATGAATTCGAGGCACAACTCCCTCAAACCATGCTGCAAACAGCACGTTATAGCTGAAAGTAAGTTCACAGGTCTCCCGTAAGCTAAGAGGACAGCCGGGTAGACTACTTCTATCATCACAGCATCTATGGGCCTCGTAGGGACGACACATCGCTTCAACCAAAGCATGAGAAAACCCACCAACAAGGCCATGTCAGAGATAGGCACAGCAGCCTGGTGGTGAAAACTTTCAAATTCAGTCTGCGCAGGGAAATCCTCTTCTAATCCCTCATTGACATAATGGGCCGTAGCATCGTTGATCAAAGCTTGGATCATCTCAGGGGTGCTCACGCTCCGACAAGACACAGCGGCGGTTTTGTGGGACAAATTCTAGAATAGATATTCAGCCCAAGATAGCTGCTTTATACCACGTCCTCGTGTCCCCGTCAATTGAGTGCAGATTTCAAAATGACACATTACTTCCCATAGAGTGTCATAGAAATCAGGATGCATCTCCTTCAAAATCCTAAGCTCATTTGACCCTGGGATGAACTCCTCATAGGACAAATCTCCAAAAGGAAGACCCGAAACGTCATACATTTCGTGGAGGGCAAACCCTAATTCCCCCACAGGTGTGAAGCATGTACACATCTCTGGGTTATATTTCTCCAGAACAGCGAAAAAATTATAATATTTATAGTCAATGCCGCATCTGGTAGCCATTATGGGGCAACTGAGTCCAGATCGAGCCAATGATTCCTCTAGCTCTGTCAACACGAACCTTGTCATTCTTGCCCACCACCCCATTCGGGAAGAATGAACCCACCTGGGAGTTCTGAATACTGAAGGAGGGAACTCCCCTTTTACAGCCAAAAATCTCCGCATGAAAGTGTTGGCTATGCTAGCTATTTCTCCAACGGGATATCCCCTTGAGAATAGGCAGGGGTCCAAAGCTGACACCTGGCGGTTGTAACCTACAGTGTGTACACCTGTGTAAGTCAAAGCCCCGATAGCTACCCCATCCTGCTCCCGGACAAGGTCCCAATCCATATGTCGAGGGATGGAAGCACACTGATAATAAGCGATAGGAAACATCCTATGCATATCAGGGAGGAAGAAGCGGCGATCTCCTATTTGCCTCAACCACTTATAATGGCCATCAGTCACGATCTCTTTTTGGATGACGACATGATCGCCAAACAGACGACATGATCGCCAAACAGGAATGTCGGTTTGGTGAGCTTTTTGCGGGAGTCGGTTTCGAATTTGGCATCTGTCACCAAAATCCTGAGTACAGCTGGGCTTGGATGGGAAATCAGGGTAACACGGTCTTTGTCTGCATCCTGAAAAATTAGGAGTTCCTGACGCAGATTGAATTGCATATTTAAATCCACGCCACCCTCGCGCCCGAAATGGTGACGAAGAGTAAGAGGTTCGCGGGTGTAAGGCACTGCAAAAGAGAAAAGTACTCAATTAGTCAATGAGGAAATAAAACAAAGGGAACTTTAGTCAAAATCCTTAGAGGAGTGAGAGCTTTCGAACGCACAGTTCAAACCTGGCGTTGAATTTTATCAACGCAGAGGTCGAACTCTGCGTTAAGCTTTCGAACACACAGTTCAAACCTGGCGTTGAATTTTATCAACGCAAAGGTCGAACTCTACGTTAAACTTTCGAACGCACAGCTCAAACCTGGCATTGAATTTTATCAACGCAGAGGTCGTACTCTACGTCAAGCTTTCGAACGCACAGCTCAAACCTGGCGTTAAATTTTATCAACGCAGAAGTCGAACTCTGCGTCAAGTTTTCAAACACACAGTTCAAATCTGGTGTTAAAATTTTATCAAACGCAGAGGTCGAACCCTGCGCCAAGCTCTCAAACGCACAATTCAGACCTGACATTAAAATTTATCAACACAAAGGTCGAACTCTGCGTTAAACTTTCTAATGCACAGCCCAGACCATGCGTCAAAACTCATTAACGCAGAAGTCGGACCCCAACGTTTCAAATTCGAAACGCAAAGTTCCAACTCTGCGTTACAATATCAAAACAAGTCATCTTCCTCGTTCACAAGAACCCATCTAGGGTTTTCAGAGAACTCGCCGAAGTGAGTTTTGTGGCCATGAAGGTCGATACTTACCACCGACGAGAGAAGCCTGTGCCGACGACGCACCAGCCTGAGTTTCATCACCGCCGACAGCCGAGGTTGACCGAGAACTCGGAGCAGCAGCAGCGGCCGACCTTTGATGGGAGGCAGTCTTCTTTCTCGGACCCATTAAGGATGATGATCGGAGAAGATGAATAGGGTTCACCGGAGTTCAAAACAAAATCTTCGTTAAGCTTTTCGAAAGAGGACAGATGAAAAGTCGGATGACTTTTGATTTGACCCCAGCGGTCTATTTATAGACAGCTATGAGCTGTCGAATCAGGGCGAGATTCTAGGCCCAGAATCCCGCCAAACGCAGCATGTGCGTCTGCATTGGTTGAGCTTCTGAACGCAGAGTTCAACTCTACGTTTTAATTTTCAAGCATGCGAATCCACCTGTGCGTTTTGAACACTATCAAATAAATTTCTCAATGTTTAAAGCCAAAACATAGCTTTAATAAATAAAGAGAAAGACTAATGTTAGCTATCAAGGTGACCAAAGACGAGAAGAAACAGACGACTCCGCTGGGGAGTCTGTTGGATGAGTACGAACAGATTACAATCGGTAACGCTAAAATTGTCAAACACGAGCTGCGCACAACTCATTCTTCTAAGTGGCTTAACATACCAACCAAGATTGATGAAGCCAAGAGTTGTACCCAACGCACAACTCATTCTTCTAAGTGGCTTAACATACCAACCAAGATTGATGAAGCCAAGAGTTGTACCCAACTCATTCTTCTAAGTGGCTTAACATCCCAACGAAGATTAATGAAGCCACGAGCTGTGCACAACTCATTCTTCTAAATCGCTTAACGTTCCCATCAAGATTAATGAAGACAGGAGCTACGCGCAACTCATTCTTCTAAATGGCTTAACATCCCAACGAAAAGTAATGATGATATTGCTAAAATCATTATCCCAGTTGAGCTGATCAAGAAAGGAAATAAAGTGGGTCCCTCTGAGGCTGCCCTCCTGACTAAACTTGGGATAAAGCCATTCTCATATGGGCTTGCGATTATCTCTGTCTATGACAATGGATCTGTCTTAAGCCCAGAGGTGCTCAACCTCATGGAGGATGACCTCGTTGACAAGTTTGCAGTTGGTGTTTCTGTGGTTGCTTCGCTGTCCTTGACTCTCTCTTACCCAACTCTTGCAGCTACGCTTCACATGTTCGTCAATGCCTACAAGAACGTCCTTGCTGTTGCTGTTATCTCTATTGCATCTGCTGAGAATGCTGCTGCTCTTGCCTCTAAGGAAAAAGAGAAGAAGGACGGTCCTGTCGGCGAGTTTGACGATGATTTGGGATTTAGTTTGTTTGACTAAGTTCATTGTCATCAAAACTCAAAAGCTATCTTGTTTGGTTCGAGGAAACAGAATTTCAGCATTCCAACAACCAAGTTCACAATGTCTTCAAATCAGACGAAGTGAATAACCAACCAACTAAAATTTTGGGATCCAAAGTATTCCAAAAATTCGTCCTAGTCAACCGCGAACTTTCGAAAACTTTGGAGGGGGTTCTGTAGGCTGTCTAAAAATCACAGTAGATAGTTGATCCCCATCAAGCTTCAACAAACAAAAGCTACAAACAGAGGACTTTTCACATAGATCAAGAAGAGTTACAAATCAACGACACTTCTGACAGCTGATGAAAACTCTATTCGGTAGCCTCCATAACCAACTGTGAGAGTTACAATCTAACAACTTTCACACCCCATAACAAGCAAAGATCAATGAGCAGTAGCCTTTACGATGTTGTAATGGACGAGGTTACAAGCCAACAACCTCTCCCAAACGCAGAGTCCACCTCGGCGTTTCCCAAACTCAAAACGCATACGAACTGTGCGTTCTCCAGTAGACGTTCAACTCTGTAACGCAGAGTTAAAAAACACAAAACGCACAGACTATGCGTTCGTCAGAAAACACTCAACCATGCGTCTCAAACTCAAGACGCAGAGTTGAGATTCAGCACACAAGCGGCCTGTGCACATGCGGCCTGTGCGTTTCAAATCTCTAGCAGAGATTTAACTCTGCGTCTCAAGCCTTAGGCGCAGAGTTAAGGCCCAGAATGCCAAGTTAGGCGTTTGACTTGTTCAAACACAAGTTGAACGGCCTAACAACCGCTTATCCCACGTTCTGAGGGATTCTCGCCCACATAGGAGCGGATTTAGGGGTTGGTTACACCCCTTACCCCCCTATAAATAACCGCATTACTCAACTGAGTAAGGGGTTGATCGGTCTCGGCAGCTAAACCACACGGAGAAGGTGATTTTCCTGAAGATCAACGAACTGATCGGCAGTTAGTTAATCAAATCTCAGAGAATCCTTTCACCAACGGCATACCTACTTGGCTATTAACCTAATTTTCGGTTCTAACAACTCTGTTACAGAGTTTCAACTCGCTCTGAGTTCTTAAACTCGTTAAGAGTTCTTAATTAAACTTGCAACGCAAGTTAATTACACTAATCGATTATTCGGTTTTCAACAACTCTTTTCAGAGTTTTCAACTCGTTCTGAGTTTCTTAAACTTGTTAAAAGTTCTAAACCGGATTCATCATACAAGTCAATCGTTCTCATGAGACAGGACGGTCTGATCGTCAACGGGGAGCAAATTCGACGCAGGCATTCAAAGGAGGCACTCCATCGCTACCAAGAAGAACCTAGAATTAAACAAAGGGGAGAATCAAATTCATTCTCCTCTCTTTTGTAATCGGAATCTAAATTGTAATCGATTTTGAGAGAATACATCATTCTCCTCTCTTTTGTAATCGGAATCTAAATTGTAATCGATTTTGAGAGAATACAAATCAATTTTTCTTTCATTTCTTTTACATCCGGAATCTAAATTGTAATCGATTTTGAGAGAATACAAATCAATTTTTCTTTCATTTCTTTTACATCAAAATTTCCACAAACAAAATCTAAAGTAAAATATGATACAAAGAGAATGATTCATAATTTATAATTGAAATTAGCTAGTGGATTTAATTCTAGATTCCTCATATCTTTAATTGAATCATCCATCTTTACTTTCTTAAATTTTCTCTTTGTTCTTAATTTTTCATTATTTATTTTATTTTTATTTCCTTTGATTTCTTCCTCTCCTCATTTTATTTTTGTTTGCATATATTCACAACCACTCCTCATATCTCTTCATAATCACACACTTTCAACACTCCTAATTTGTCACACACACAACATAAGAACCAATATTGATTTCCTCCTACAAACACATTCTTCGTGGGATCAATAACTTTTTATACTATGACTTGATAGTTGTATACTTGTAACTTTTGGTTATCATTTTGACCCCATTAAGTTTTCAGCACCGTTGCCAGGGAATCTCTATTGCCGAGGAATGAAGAGAAAATTTTAAATACCCCCATACCTAAACTTTTGCTAGTCCTCTAGCAAAGAAAGAAATTAAAAATCCTAACTCACTTTTGTAGAAACCGCGGTTGTATTTAGCAAATATAACACGCTTTTAAATCCCTAGGTTACCCTAGATGACGAGTTGTAGTCTCGTGAGGGTTTGTAGTGAATATACCCACAAAATTCAATTATTTTACCAATTCAAAGAAGTTAGTGAATAATTAATTTACTTGATAAGTTTATTAAAAGTTTTGAGAAGAACATACTAACTCTTTGTTTTAAATAATTTTTAAGTCTCTTAAAATATATTTTTCAAGACCATACATACAAATAAAACAATACATATATATGTTACCCTCTCTCTCTCTCTCTATATATATATATATATATATATAGATAGATAGAGAGAGAGAGAGAGAGAGAGAGAGAGATTAGTGGGTATCATATATATATATATATATATATATATTATAGTATATATAGATAGAGAGAGAGAGAGAGAGAGAGGGAGAGATTAGTTGGGTATGCATATGTCAATATGAAGAGGATTCTGGCGCTTATTACAATATATGACAAATCTGCCACCCAAGTGAATAAAGTAGAGCAGAGAATGCGCTCATAATCCTTGTTTGTGGTTGTGGGCCACATCATGTATACTTGAGAGAATCGCTCCTCATATGACATATGATACGCCATGTTAAATCTCTCGATGATATATATTATAATATTATATATATAAAGTATAATATATATATTATATATTTATATATATATATATATATATATATTTCACTCTTTATTCCTTGGTGATTTTTTCTATGTTATCGGGTTTTCTTTTTTTTTTGGTCAATGAAATAAATTTTATTCATTACCAAATTGAGAAATATAAGTACATCAGAATATACTAGTTCCTAAACTGGGAGAACAACTCCGGAAAAAAAAAATTACATTTTCACAATTCTGTCATTTATGTGAGCAGGAATATTATCATTTAGGACTTTTGATAGAATCAGGAACTTCACTCTTCAAAACACAAAAACAGGGTCTTGAGCTTCATGCCGAAAAATTCTTTGATTTCTTTCCTTCCCAATGGCATAGACTGACACAGTTAGTGCCATTCTTTTAACTTTCTTCATAAAACCCTTTCCCTTCAATCTTGTACTATACCATTCAATAATCCTATCCCAATTGCAAGATTTCCATTTGTAATTCATCCACTCCATAACTCTGTTCCAGAGATCAGCTGAGAATGCACATTCAAAAAAAAGATGCTTACAGGTTTCTTGTTGCTGAAATGTGCGCAGAACACATGCATTTTGCTATTGATTTATGTCAAGGATATTCATGTGACATAATCTATCTCTTGTTAACAGTCTAGAATGAATAGCAAGCCAGGTGATGAGAAAGGATATTCATGTGACATAATCTATCTCTTGTTAACAGTCTAGAATGAATAGCAAGCCAGGTGATGAGAGAATGCTTAGGATATGACCATTCAATCTCTTGTTAACAGTCTAGAATGAATAGCAAGCCAGGTGATGAGAGAATGCTTAGGATATGACCATTCGTCCCAAACTGTTTTAGACCAAGTTACCTGTGCATTCTGATTAATGAGATCATTGTAGATAGTAGATAACTGGACATTACCTCCAGAGCAGCTCCTGGCAATTATATTTTGAACATTAGAGGCACTTCCAAATTTGAATATCACCTTATCTCTCATTTTAAGAATCTGTTTCCACATCCAAGAATCATTTGCTTTGGATTGAACTTGCCATATGTCAGATTGTCTAAGATAGCTGCCATGTACCCACTTAATCCATAACAAATCTTTCTTGAAGTGTATCATCCAAATAAGCTTCATAGAAGCTGCAGTATTCCAGGCTTTAGCAGAGAATACCCCTAGACCTCCATGTTCCTTACTTTGACAAACTGTCTTCAGGAAATCAAATGGATTTTATGGTTCCAAAAGAATTCAGAACAAAGACTGTCAATTTTCTTCAACACCTTAACTGGTAGAATATAATTGCTAGTCCAAAAATTTTGAATTCCTAAGATGATAGATTTAATAAGCTGCAATCTACCTGCATAGGACAATGTTTTCTTTTTTTGCTAATTCTGGAACTGAGTAGATATTTTGTCAATCAAAGGGGAGCAATCTGAATAAGATAATCTATTTGAAATCAAAGGTACCCCCAAGTATCTCACTGGCAGGACACCCTCAGAAAAATTTAGCAAGGAGCAAATATAGGTCTTCAAATTCTCATCAATACCACTCATATATATAGAGCACTTGTTTGGATTAGTCTCTAGTCCAGAAACTTCAATCTTGCAATAGAGTAAATATCAGCTTTGCAGAAAAGTAGCAAATCATCAGCAAAGAAAAGATGAGAGATTTTAAGCCTGGAACATTTTGGGTGATTTTTAAACAAATTGTCATTCTTCAGAGAACTTAGTCTTCTTGATAGATACTCCATCCCCAAAACAAAAAGATAAGGAGAGAGGGGATCTCCTTGTCTTAATCCTCTAGCATCTCTAAAACAACCATGTAGTGAGCCATTCAAAGATAGGGAGTACTTAGGTGAACATATACATTCCATTATCCAATTGATCATAGTGACAGGAAAGCCCAGACCAGTAAGCATATCCTTTATAAATTTCCAGTTAATTGTATCAAAGGCTTTTCTTAGATCAATGTTGATGATTGCCCTTGGAGTTGAATGTTTTCTGTCGTAGTGCTTGATCAATTCATGAGCTAAGAGGATGTTGCTAGATATAAGCCTTCCTTTAACAAAAGCACTTTGTGCTTCATTAATCAAAGCCCCTATAACCCCTTGAATTCTTGTTGCAATAATTTTAGAGATGATTTTATATAAACAATTGCAACAGGAAATTGGTCTAGATTTTGGATTAAGAATCTTAGAGACTAAAGTAATAGATGTAGCATTAAGAGCTCCAAGAAGTTTACCAGACTTAAAAAACTCTTCAATGGCAAGATAAAGATCTTCATTAATCAGATTCCAGGCTGCTTTGAAGAACGTAGCAGTGTAGCCATCCGGTCCTGGTGCTTTCTCATTATCCATAGAAAATAATGCTTGCTTGATTTCATCTCTAGTGACTGGGACACTAAGATTCTTGGCCTGAGTAGAAGATAGGATAGGACCATTTAACAAAACTTCCACTTTGATTTCTGCAGTAGAAGCAGAATAACCCAGTAATTTCTTGTAATAAGCAGTGAACTCTTCTATGATATGAGACATGTCAGTAATCCTTTCCCCACTATCAGAGTATATAGACAGGATCTTATTTTGATGCCTTTTTGCCTTCATAATAGAGTGAAAAAACTGAGAGCATTGATCACCATGAATACCACATCTAATACTTGCCTTTTGCCTGTAAAAGGAAGTTTCAAAATCAACCAATCTTGTATAAGTATTCAGACATTTCTTCTCCTTTGAAATCAAAATAGAATTGAAAGGATCATTCATCAGTTTCTGCTGAATATCAGACAATTCCCCCTTGGCTCTAATCACCTGCTCACTTCTATTCATAAAGTGACTTTTATTCAAATCTTTAAGGACTGGTTTAAGATTTTTCAGCTTAGTAACCAGCTTGTACATATAGAAGCCCTTGATGTCTGTCTCCCATACAGATTTAATAACTGAGTTGAATTCTGGATGTTTGATCCACATGCTAAAAAACTTGAATGGTTTTTTTCCTTTACAGCTTTCATCACCAATTGTTATCAATGCTGGTGAATGATCAGATAGGCTAGGCACCAAGAAATTAACTTGACTGGTGTTATCGGGTTTTCTAAATGACCATTTAACAAGTTTTGGGCCAATGAATCCCAACCCAATTAGGCTTAGGTCATTAAGTATGGAAATACTTATTGGGCCTAACTACTCGGTCAACTTAAGCTTTATAAGATAGAATATATATATATATATATATAGACACACACACACACACACACACACACACACACACACACACACACACACACACACACACACACACACACACACACTGTGTGTGTGTGTGTATAAAATGGAGAAACTTGGTACCAAGTTGCTCCAAGCAACTTAGTAGTGATGTGGCCTAATCTTGTCCCTACATCTACATTAGAGTTGGTAAAGGGTGGTTGAGGCTCTATCTTTGAGGTGTGATGTAGGGACAAGATTAGGCCACATCATATAGTGTATGTGTGTGTATGTATATATATTCTAAAAAATATCTAGATCAAGGTAACTTGAAATTTTCAACTCTAAGCTAAGCATGCAAAATTTTTATTATTTTAATGAAAAGTTTAAGCTAAGGCTTAAGTGAAGTATACTGTTTTAAAAATTATTTCTTCAGAAATTTATTTAGAGTTATCATAAAAGGTGAACTTGAGTATAAAACTAATTAGGAATTAGAAAGTTAAAATTTGTCAAATAGGTCAATTATGCATTGACTTGATCAAATTGGCAGAATTTTTTTTAACTAAAAACTAACAAAAGGAAAGTTCTATAAAATGGAAAAATAAAAAAAAACTAAAACTAGTAAAAAAAATACTAACTACCTAATGTAAAACAGCTAACTAGCTCACACCCCCATACGTAGACTTTGCATTGTCCTCAAGGCAAATACTAGCAATAACATCCAAAATATATCACAGTATATAAGTACAAGCCAATATGAAAGTCAAATACTTGGTGAAAGAAACATCCCTCACTTCTCATCACTAGATGGATCATCGTCTGCATCATCAGTGGCAACTCCTGTACTCGCTGTCTGAAACCTCGATGCTGGCTGGATCGGTGCGCACTTGTCTTGGACTACTTTTACTATAGCCCTTCTTATCGCATGAAATGCTCGAATTACCCTTTCCGAACCTGACCTTTCTGCTTTGCTCTTTGGTCTCACTTCACTGTCGAATTCTCTGATCAAGGATTTTAGATCATATCGTCATTATTTCAAGAGGATAGGACTCCAACTGATCGACGCCCCTGTCTTTCACTTACTTTTTGGCAGGGTGCCACCTGGAACCAATCAATGTAGTACGACTGAACGGTCTGACTAGCCTTTTCAAGACCCGGTCTTTCCTTTAAGGCTAGCTTCACCTCCCATCCTCCCGGAAAAATCATCAGGCTAACGTAGTGTGATAAAAGTCTTAAGCTGAGGTTAGGGTTCAGTTGTATCTCCATGCACCCTCTGCCACTCTCTCATCAGATATGCTAAGGACTCAGTGACATAGTTTATTTGATCCCGCATCTGAGATTGATCCTCACGAATCTCCTAAATGGGGTCATGCGTAGCCGCTTAGTGCCGAGGAGGAGCTCTGTGTGAAGAAGTTGATTGATCTCATCCTAAAATTCTCCTCCTCACAGTCTAATCAGTCAATAGCCCCTTCCATGCTTCTAGTCTATCCTCTGTGAAAACTGGAACATAAAATATTTGGCAGAGTCTAGTCATCAAGTAGGGGTAAATAAGCTGAACTCTCGATCCATACTGCATCCTGGCCCACTCTAACACACCCTCCACTGAAGATCTCATCCACACATAGATAATCTTGGCTGTATCAAACTGTCGACCGGTGGCTGTCCAATAAAGAAGGAGTATATCATGGGCAATGATGGTTGTGAATGCAGTGGTGGGTTTAAGATCAAAGTTCAGGAAAAGGTTGGATAATTTATACTTAGGGTTGAGATTTACTGAACCAAAGCTGGATGTGAAGGTCCTCCCACACAAAACCATAGACATATCATTATATTCTGGTGTACCAGGTTGTAAGCTAGAAGCTAACTGGAAGTAATCGGGTACATCAGCCAGTGGTTTCTCAAGTCCAAGAATATCTCGAATTGTGGGAAGATCAAAGACAACATTAACACCCCTAACTATAGAAAAAGCCTAAAATTCTCTATCTGGATCAAATTCCAATCCAGTATAAAATTCACGAACGAGTGAAATATTTGCTTTTTCTAAGGGTCTATCCATCATATTTCTAAGTCCCACTTCGGTCAACATATCAAGAGTAGATTTATAAGTTTGAAGTGCATTGATCTAAAATTCTCTCTCAAAATGAATATTTAGACTCATAATCCTGACCAAGAGTGTGGGTCTATCTATATCATCATCAGATGGAACTTGAGAGGATGATGAACCAGCTCAGGATCTAGGGGGCATCCACAGGAAAAATAATATTTTAATATAATGAAAGCAACAAAAATCCCACCCCATTATTTATTTATTTAAATAATTTAGCTATAAATTATTTAACATGAGTTAATTTCAAGTTATCAAGCATAACTTTTTGTGTTTGGTACCAAGCATACCCATATTTCTCATATATATATATATATATATGTATATATATATATATAATAAAAAATATATATATACTATATATATGTATATATATATATATATATATTATATGATATTATCTATATATATATATATATATGTATATATCATTATATATATATATATAATGTATATATATATGTATATATGTATATATATATGTATAATGTACTTATAATTATATAGTATATATATATATATATATATATAATATACAATATATTATATTACATATATATATATATAATATATATATATATATATATACTTATATATATATATATATATATATTAAATATATATATATATATAATATATATATACAATCTAATATATATATACTTATATATATATATATATTATATATAATATATATATATATAATATATATATATTATATAATATATATATTATATATATATTATATAACTATATACATGATATATATATATATATATACCTAATATATATATATATAGTATATAATATATATATATATATATATAGTTATATATACAAGAGTATTACTATCATTTTATTTGAAGCTTGGGAATCAGAACACACAATTTCATACTTATGTTGTTTTTAAGCGTTTTTTCAACAAATAACTAATTTTCAAAAAGTATGAGGAACCTATCTGCCAAAATTATTTTCAACAGTTTGCTTTTTATTTGAAAAAACATTTTACAAAGCTGTTCAGATTTTTTTCAGAGGGTCACATAACCCCAAAATTAGCTGGTTT